GAGCAATTGCCTTAGCTCACCGTCCACCCAAGGAGAAGGTTTGTATCGTGGTGACGTGGTGATGGTCGTGGTCGGACAATGCTTGTCAAGGGTGTCAGCTATTGAGGTTTGGAATAGGGAAATGTGCTCGTTTAGAGTAATCTCAGATGGCAAAGTGTTGTTATTATGGAGAGCAGTCAAACGGGAGCTAATGTCGTCTTGGAATTGTTGAATGTTTATCGCTCGAAGTGGAGGCTTACGAATAGTAATTCGTTCTTCTTTTTGAATGTTTGTAGCATGGTAGATAGCTCGAGAATGACAAGTTGGTGGTCAGATACGTCGCATGGTTGAACGGAGCATGTGATGGAATTGACATTGTTTCCACGCGGCTGTGAGTTTGGCAACTGAGCAAGCAGGTTAGGTACTAATGCGAGATCAATGGTGGAGTTGCTCGGCAGCCTCGTGGGGGCGAGTACCACATTTCGTAAACTGTTATCGCTGCAGAAAGTTTGGAGGTGGGTGTAGTGTGGGTGATTGTGGTTCTGAACATTGACATTGAAATCACCGACGACTATCGTGTGCGATTTTGCTGCTGTGGATCCTGAGATGTTGTCCACTGTATCAGTCAGTTTCTGCCAGAATATGACAGGCGTGGACGGCGACCTGTATGCAGCAATAATGTTTAGTGTGATTTCTTGAAGACGTACATGTATCGACACTGCTTCTATATCATTCGTGATCTGTATTCTATTGTGCTGCAGTCCATCACGGACATAAATGCATACACCTCCCCCAGTCTTGTCTTGCCGGTCTCGCCGGTAAATGCTATATCCACGGAGGTGTACAGAGTTGTTAGGCACAGTGTTGGTCAACCAAGTCTCCGTTATGGCTAGAATATCTACTTTGTGGTGATGCATTAGGTAATGAACTTCATTTAACTTGTGAAAAAGACTACATACATTGATATGAGCAATACTTAGCTTTGAGGTTATTATTGGCGTTGCTGGGGATGCCCGGGCTGAGTCCTATTGTGAAGTATTGAGTATACGGGCAATGTCCTCCGTGGATAGAGGTTTTCCGCTGTGCATGATTACATCTCGGGGCAGGTGGCACTGAACTCCCTTGTCCCTAAGAGCTCGGAGCTTAGGGACAAGTGCTCTCCGCCGTTGTTGCTCTTGACGGGTCAGGTCATGCTGGATGTAGACTTTCTCACCGCGGTAAGTAGCTTTCGTTTTATGTTGCATGAGCTGAGACTTGGCTTGAGGCGTCAGGACAACATGTACAAGGCGAGCCGGTCTCACGCCAGGGTGCTGGCCTGTAGTACTGGCTGTAGCACTTGTACTAGCTGTGTTGACAGTGTCACGGCGCGGTTGCTGGCCTAGGCGGGTAGCAGACTTGATCTCACTCAGCGCTATGTTTGGCGCGAGGCTTCCAATTATGGCCGGGAGGTTCTCCGAGCTGCTCTCTGTCAGGCCGCGTAACACAACATTGTGAACCCTGCTGCACTTGTCGGTAGCTTCCGCCACAAGGTCACGGAGTGTCGCTTCTGGTGTGCCTTGTATGGGCGTGTCCACCAGATTTTGGCAGGTGGCTGTGGCGACAGGATGGCGGGCAGTGATGGTGGCGAACGTCTCCTTTACCTCTGCAATGGCGGTCTTGGCGCCGTTCTCCACTTTCAATACATCCTCGAAACATTTGTCGACAGCTGTCCTGAGCCGACGATTCTCCGCTGACAGGCGGTTGATGTCAAGGCGCTGCTCGCTGACTGTCGTGTGAAGGTCATCAAATTTCTTCAGTAGACCGGCCAAAGTGTCTTTTACAAGAGACTTCAGCTCGGTCCGGAGCTGCGCCTGGAAACTGTCCAGCATTACCTTCATTTGGCTCACGACTACTTGGCTGTCACTAGCACTGGGACTGTCGCTGGTTTGGTCCAGTGTAGCGCCCGACTTGCAGGCTGCCTTGCGTGTCCCTGACACGGGCCGGTCAATGCTCTCAGTGCTTGGGCACAAGCTCTCGCTTGGGCTCTCAGGCTTTCGTTTGGTGGGCTTCGCCCTCGGCGTCGAGTCAGATGGTTCCCCGGAAACATCACTACTACATGAGCTGCGTGAAGAGCCACCCTTTTCACGGCCAGCGTTACTGGGGGTGGTTATCTTCCGGACAAACTTTTTCATTGCACACTCAATTGCCAAAAAACGAGTACTCGTGATCCTTTGGCCAGATCCAGAAACACTGGGATTTCGCATCTTCTTTCTGTTTGTCCATGGAAGAAGAGGGTATTTGTGTCATCATGGCTTCTGGCTGTGTTGTTGGCTACTATAATCTTACTGGTAACCCCCCTGGGATGAACCTGCACCAATTTCTGAAGGATTGTGCTTGGCACAGGCCGAGCAGTGCACCATAGCAGCTATCAAGCGACATAATTATTTGCTTGACAATTTAGGGACTACAATGTAAATCCTTCGCGTGTGTTCCAGCCATTTGGCAGAGGAGGATTCAGTTCAGGAGGAATATTATGCACTCATCCGATGCGGACGCTGGTGGATGAAACTGTGGTGCGTCCTTTTTCGCACGCCACACTGTGAAGTGTCAGTCGAAAAGCGGAGGTGAGTGCAATATTTCAAAAACACTAGCTACTGTATGTAGTTCTTTCTTTTCCAAAGCATTTGTAGAATTGTTTTGGACTACATCACTACGAAATGTGAAGCTTTCCGAAACCGGCCTGATCAGGTGGACGGCAGTAGATCTCCTGTTTCCCTAGGCTATACTGCGTGCGATCGATGAACCTGTCTGCGATTGCTGTTCTTGATTTTACAGGAAGAAGATCAAGAGCGGCTGTACCATCGGTCGAAGTGACTCACTGTTGAGCTACGACCACTGCCACCGCCCCAAGGTTATAGGAAGGACTGTTTGCAGCGCCAGCGCCTCTAGCTGGCATGTTTTTTTCCCTGTATGAACACACAGTATGTACTGCTGATAAGCTACATCACGCAATGACCCGCAGTTCAAGGAGAGAAGATAATCCACATACTGGCAACGGTGTACACCTATTCGGGAACTTGTTGGGTTTTCTCAGTATGGATGCAGATGAGAGCCAGACATTATTATTATTATTATTATGTGTATGCGTGCAAGCGCGTGAGTGTGTGTGTGCGCGCGCACGCGCGTGAGTGTGCGCGCACGAGCGTGAGTGTGTGCGTGCAAGCGCCCGTCCGCGCACGTGAGTGTGTTTGCGCGCACGCGCGTGAGAGACAGACATTATTATTATTGTGTGTGTGGGTGCACGCGCGTGAGTGTGTGTGTGCGCGCGCACGCGCGTGACACTGAGTGTGTGCGCGCGCATGCGCGTGAGTGTGTGCGCGCACTTGCGTGAGTGTGTGTGTGTGCGCGCACATGCGTGTGCTTTTGTGTAATGTAATATAACATTCCAAAGATATTCACGTCATCTATTCTGTGTTCTCCTTTATGTCATTCTCTCCCCATTTGCGGGAGGGACATGGAATGACAAGTAGTAGATGCATTGCCGTTAGTGATCCTGAGGGATGTGTGGGTATGCAACCAAGTGCATGAGTGCGCGCATGTGTGCGTGCACGAGCATGTGCACAGGCACTTGTATGCTTATGCACTCGTGTGCGCACGCGCTTGTGAAATTGCGTGTCTGCGTGCGTGAGCATGTGTGACTACTATACTATGTGCCCACCAAGGTGAGCACATGTGCGTGCGTGTGTGTGGGGCGCAGGCGGATATGTGCACGCATTTAATTTTTAGAATGATAATCAAGGACAGAGCTGTTCCGGTAATGCAGTCATGAGACACCACAGTAGGGCAAAACGCACTCAATATGCTACTGTGCTGCTGCTGCTGCTAGAGTGCACAGCGTAATTGTTGGTACACAGCTACGTGAAATACAAGAGAACGTCTCAGCATTCTGTAAAGACTAAGTGATAATGCAAAAGGTGAGAATGTATTTCGCCACAATACGAATTGAGTGCAGTCCACTTATGTGAGATAAAGCACAAGTGAACCGATACACATTGCACGACTTGCACGGAGATAATGCTAGCCATGTTACGCAGCAAACTCCATGTACAGGAGTACGAGTGAGGAGACTATTGATCTGAGTACTGTGCGAATACAAAATTTCACACAATTTACGATATGAAGAGAACGATTCGATTTGTGAGCATTACGTAGGACTATACTGTGAAAACACTTACGGATTGTCAGGCTTGTCTGAGCTGCTTTGGCTGCCGCTTCATTTCGAAATAGCCCAGCCAACCGGTTGCCAGATGTTGCTGATGGAGAGCGACTTCTCCAATTGCAGTAATTTCTGCTTCATCCCCATTTACAGCCCGAATGGAAGCCACCGCTTGCGCTGCCATATCCTTTCCTGAAAATTTCGGCTCATACCCGAAGCCAAACATTTTCAGCTCAGGCTCTGAGCTTTCAAGCTCGTCTAATACGTCGGAATCGCTCATGGTGATCGTGAGGACGTCTTTGTCGGAACTACAGTGCATTTCAAAACTATAGACGCGTAGGGTTTTTTAAATATTTCAAATTTGGCTGGAACTTTTTGAGAATAGTTTTCGGAATATTGCTCAGGATCGCTCCACAATTACTCTCATAATAGTTTCTAAAGGATTGGATAACAGACGCCCAATTTGGAAAAATTTATGCACAAAGTGATCACAGATTTTATGTGGTATAGATGCTGGCATAACGGTTTTTGCCTAGGTAGATCTACGCGTCTATAGTTTTGAAATGGACTGTAGTCCTTTCACATACCAAAATACCTGTACTTCTGAGCTTGGCCCAGGCATGCATGTCTCAATGACGTAGAAGGGCGTGTTGGGGGTGTGTCGCGGCCGCATGACGTCATGGCGCGTCCCCCGAAAGTACAATTTAAACCGAAGATATCTCAGGAACGCTTGGTGGGATCGAAGTGGGACCTTCACCATTCGACTCAGCGTCCAAAACTCTACGGACCATGGAGTTTTGATTTTTGGGTGTAGTTCCCCTCTAACATGGTTAACCATGCTCGAGATCTGCTAGCTGCTGCCAAAAGTAAGTTGAATGAATAAAAAAATCTGCTGCCAAAAGCGACACACGCATACTCGTACTCGTACACGGGTTCACTCTTACCAGCTTTCGTACTACAAACCCAGCTGGGATTTCCAGGTTATCTCGTGTTTGTAGTCCGCATGCAATAGTCACATCCGTACTCTTGCACCAATTATCTTTGGAGTAAACTAAAGAGTTCTGCTGCTCAATTTGATTGTCACCCCGTGTACCTACTATACTAGCCTTTACGATGCAGTCATTGAGCGTAATTCATGATGGCCTCAGCGAACCTCAAGCCGAGCTGGGGAAGTATTACTTGTCCGAGAGAGACAAGATTGGGTTCACACATAACAGTAGACCAACGACTTACGGACTTGAACGGACCAGGACACTCTAACTAAACTACTAGTAGCAAGGAAATAGTCAAGTCAACAGTTTAGTGAATACGGAACAGATGTTGCTGCCTGATCTACGAGTACATGTACAGGTCTGTTCTCGATATAACAACTCTCACTTGTACATAAACCTCGCTAGTATGTAAAAAATCAAATCCCGCGCCGAAACAGCATCACTTCCATACAAATTTTGTTCTACACAACATAATCCTACATAACATAAACCTCGACATAACACACGGTATGGCGCGGTCCCCAACGCGCGCACTCTCGATACAACATAAATTCACGTGAACGGTACGGATCAAGCGGTAGCTGGAGCTACAACTACTATAGGCAATTTAGGCCAGTTTAGTCCTACATCACGTAAACCTCGGCATAATGCACCCTATGGCGCGGTCCCGGTCCCCGGACCCAGACGTGCGCACTCTCGATACAACGTAGATTCACGTGCGCGGTTCAATCAAGCTGTAGGCTGTAGCCGTAGCTAGCCAGTTTAGTCCTATGTGCATATATTCTGCGGCATTGATGGTATCTGATGTCGATGGAGGTACAGTGTGTATATGTTTGCACGGTTAAACCCGCCTTGTAATACCCTTCATTTTGAGGTACATCTTGTATTTTACACAAGGTTTTCTACGTAACATAACTCTCTATATAACATAATTTTCGCGTGGTCCCAGAGATTAAGTTATAATGTGGAGAGTAGACCTGTACTTGGTTCTCGAGCGAATACTATACACACTATTATCGGCTATACCGATATATCGCTTATTGTGATGGGCTTCAGGAAGCAAACCATATCAAATGCACAGGAAAATATCGCATAATAATGATCAAGAGTGATGATCACAAAACAAGTGCTGCAAGCGGACATCCCGCTGCTGCACCCCAAAGCCACTTCAGCAATGTTCCTGCAAAGCCGGAATATGACTTTAAATCCGTGCCATCTTCCGTCTGGGATAGTGTGAATGCAGAGCTCTCTGATATTGACTGGAGCTGGCACCTGCGTGCCAGCAACGTCGATGATGCGCTTTCACACTTTTCTTCCATTCTCAACAGTGCCCTTGAGAAGCACCTCTGGCCATTCGGAAAGCAGCCGTATTCTCACCGCTGCCCACGGTCCAGTCAGCCACCCTGGGTTGATGCCCATCTCCGCACAGCAATCAAGTGGAAATATGATCTCTATAGCATTTTTAGGAAGTACCCAACACAACAAAACAAACAAGCATACCAACAGCAGCGAAATATAGTGAAAACCCTGACGCGGACAAAGTACAGAGCTTATATCCGCTCAATGAAAACTACTTTGCAGGGTAGACACCGTCCATCGCTTCACCAGTTTGTGAGACAAGCAAGAATTCGAAACGTATCACGGGAAATTCCGTCACTCACAACAGGGACTCAGCAGGCGGCTGACCCTTTGGCCAAAGCTACGGCATTAAACGCCCAGTTTGCCTCTGTGACTCGGCCAGATGACCCGTTGCTCTCTATTCCCCCTATTCTCACCCCCTCGGAGCCCTCAGCTTGTTTCACGTCCGTCATCACCACAACTGCCACTGTCCGGCGTCATCTGAAGAAGCTTCCGACGTGCAAGGCGTCTGGTCCTGACGGCATCCCCAACCGGGTCCTCAAGGCCCTGGCACCATCCATAGCATTCCCTTTGTGCCATATTTTCAACATGTCATTTACCACGGGCATATTCCCTTCCGCATGGAAAACAGCGAAAGTCATACCTGTATTCAAGAAAGGTTCCCGCCACGAACCTGCAAACTACCGCCCTATCTCTCTTCTTCCCTGCGTGTCCAAAGTATGTGAACGCATCTTTTATGACCACTTATACAGACATGTTTCGCCGTTTCTGAGTCCCGCACAATCTGGGTTTCGTAAAGGCGACTCCACCTCTCTTCAACTGACCCGCATCGTGCAGCAGGTGTGCCAGCATAGGGATAACAGAGCGCTTGCTGGCATTTGCTTCTTTGACTTGGCCAAGGCTTTTGATACCGTCTGGCATCGAGGACTTTTGGCAAAGCTCGAGCATGCATTCAGGGTACGCAAACAGCCACTCTCCTGGCTGAAATCTTATCTCTCTGGGCGTTATCAGTACGTAACTGTGCTTGGCACATCCTCGGCTGCAGAGCCAGTATTGTCGGGCGTTCCTCAAGGATCAATTCTTGGTCCCCTACTATTTATAATTTACGTAAACGACTTACCTGCAGTCTTCCCTGGAACGTCTCTGTTTGCTGACGACACGACCCTTCTCACCTCATCAGCTTCCCTCACTGGCCTGAAAAACAACTTGCGTGCTGGCATTCAGGAAGTTCTTTCCTGGATGTCGTCCTGGAGGTTGTCCCCAAATCTATCAAAAACAAAGATCATGCTCTTCCCGCCCCAGCCGGAGTTCACAACCCTCATCCATGCCAACTTTCCAAATCCAATTGACATAGTGTCTTCTCACAAACACCTTGGCATTGTGATTGACTCTGCACTCTCTTGGGTACCTCACATCGAATATATCTGTAAAAAATCAAGTAAATCCTTAGGAATTCTCTCCCCCCACTGCTCCTACCTCCCACTTTCTTGCAAGCTTCTTTTTTTATTTCGCCTACCTTCGCCCAATATTTCATTATGCAGATACGTCTTGGGTTGGGTTATCCTCTTCCGCTGCTGCAAAGCTTGAAATACATCACAAGAAAATCCTTAAAATTCTCCTCCGTCAACCCCGCATGCTCTCATCATCCGCCCTTTATAAAATCGCTCACACAACCCCGTTATCACATGGACGCAGTGCACACCTGGCTTCTCTTGTCCATTCTATTAAGCTTGAGTTGTGCCCACCTCATCTCATGTGTTTTAATTGGTTCTCTTCTCTAAGAACTAGAAACTCACTCTTACTCCCTAAGTGTAACTCATCCACTCTTTTGCGCTCCCCTCTCTTTATTGCTTATTCTGTTTGGCTCACTCTACCCAGAGAAGTTAAGGACCTGACCTCACTCCGCCTGTTTAAGATCCGTACCGCCCCTTATTTACTACGACATGCATAGCTCATTATCCACATGTCCTTTGCGTCTCTGTGTTTTTCACTGTTTTTATTTGACATTATCTTTCTTTACGGAGTTGTTGTTGCTGTTCGTTTTGCTACTCTTTCTTTTTCCCTCCCCTTCTTTCTATTTATCGCCGTGGTTGGCAATCACCCACTCTCGTAATATTGGCCGGTGTTTCCGCCGAGTCTTGAGATGTTGCAATAAATAATAATAAAGTAGTGTTCTTCCAATATCCAATGTTGCCTGGATGCATCTGGCAGCAGACATGATTGAGAGAAAATTCTTCCCTGTATGCTGTAAGCAGCCACACGGACACATGGCTGCTTTTTATGCTTTTTCCAGCATGTACGCATCATTTCATGCACAGTCATGTGCCATGTGTCAGTCATACATGTACATGCAAATCGGCTATAGTGATGCACCGGATATAGTGATAAATTATCGAAAATCTAAGGGGCACGTTAATATATCCACTATTTACGTACTGTACTAGTATTTGGTTGATTCACTCGTACCTGGGGCAAAAAGTGATACGGTCAATACCGTAGTGACCGTACCGTGTGCGACGCCCCTACATGCTACAATACCCGGCCCTGTTCTATCACCAGATCACGTAGAACAAAGCGAAAGCGACTGGATTGTCTTGTGCAATGGGACGGGGAATGATCCCATGGTCCTGTGTCCAACGGAGTACTGGCGCTGCGCCGTAGATTCACCAGGCATTTCGGAGCTCAATCAGGGGTTTCGCACTGTACCATGGGACAAATCCGCCTTCGCAAAAGAGATGTTTGTTGCATTTTATTTTTACTTCCATATGGGTCCAGCTGCTATCTCTTCTCATCCCCTCCGAAGTACTCTTGCTAGTTTCGCACGACAAATCACTGAAATCCGACAACTTGGTCCGTACCGGTAACTGTAATCATTCTGTTAATGTGAGAAAACCGTACTCACGCGATAAGAAGCCCTGCTTCTATTTCTTCAACGCCAATCAGGAGGCTTCTGGAGTACGATAAGCACCAGAAAACGTAGCATAAAAGCAAGAGTACATAACCGTACTCTTGATAAAAGTCCTCGGTAGAAGCGAGGACAATTCGGGGCTCCAAATGGCGCCCATGTGAGGCCCAATCGGGACCCTGTTCCTGTGTATGCACTTTCAAACCAAAGTCTTTGGTTCGCAAGAGTTGCCGAGCATGCCCGGAAAGTCCCCCTTGACTTCCTGAAGAGCAACGTGGAGCTAAATGGGTAATCTTGTCCGCTTTAAGCAGTACGAGTACTTATGCCGAAATATTCTCGGCGATGGATTTTTCCAGAAGGGCGCAGTTATGCTCAAATTTATACCGAAATCATCAGCCGGTGATAACTAGTACTCCGCGTCCAAGATTTCACGCGATTGGGAATTTTTCAGTGCTAGGCAAGCAAGGCGAACGAATTTGTAGCTTGAATGGACATAACAAGGAAACTTCAAAGTGAACGTGTTCTAAAGAAGTAGTTTAGACAATTGCGAAGTGGATTACCCATCGTATCTGGCTGGATTGGACGGACGACGAGTGGATTCTGGGGCTTTCTAATATCGTCGAGTGCTGACAGGTGTTGGCCAGCTATATCAAGGTATGGATGCCTTTCGTACTCCCGTAACTGCTTACCTTCACGTTGACCTAAAACCATAATTATGTTCTACCGTGAAAGCTAGCTAAGAAGCTGAACACTGATGAGACAAGCCTCCGCTTTAGAACTTGAACTGGAGTGGATACAGGGGCGTCGGAAGGTAGTTTAGTGTAGTACGGTCAGCCATCTGAAGTACAATTTACTCGTGGGGGAGGGATGGCTGAGCCGAAAAATTTGGAAATTTAGAGCCCAAATCCGTGCGTTTTATTGATTCACAGGGTACTTGGGGCAAATAGTGGTACGGTCATTACCGTAGTGACCGTACCGTGTGCGACGCCACTGGGATTAGTTTATCAAATGTCGAAGAACAAGCAGGCAGAGTTTGTTGCCTTATTACATGAGACAGACTACAGGCACACAAATATAAGGGAGAAAAGTAGGGGTCAAAGGTGTGTACCGGGTACCCGGCCGTTAATCTCGGGTACCATCAGTAAAACGGTACCCGCTTGGATTTTGATGAACCAGTCAGTGCGGAGCAACACTGCTGGGACCGTGTATTCCAGGCGGGAGTCAATTATTTACAACTCCACACTGAACGTCTGCATTGTTGTTGCATTGTCGCACCTAGTAGATCTACTCCTGTGACTATCAGACACCAATCGATTTGCGAATCACAATGATTATATGATATCCAAATGCAAACCGAGAACAGATGACTTAAAATCTTAATTTATTTGAAAATTGCTTAAACATGGCTGCTAAGGGGTACCCGTTAACCCGCCCGGTAAGAAAATTACCTGTTCGTTAGTTAAAGGTACACCCGTTTGACCCCTAGAGAAAAGAGTAAGGTTAAAGACAGCAGTGGAACTAATGACTCCCAGCTGGTCTAAGAGTGTGCAACTAGTGCTATTGGTGATGCTGATGCTGATTCCGTAGAATATGGTGCCTGAATCTGCTCACTCGTGTATCGATCAGTTTTATTTCTTCATATTTGCACTGAAATCCTTGGGCACCCTGTGAGTGAGGGGACAATAATCGGTTGGATTGCCCAAGTATAATCATTAGCAGCAACAACAGTAATTCAATTATTGTGACTGTGAACAGGAGGGTCCCATGCAACAAACCTTCATAGTGAGCAAACTCTCTAATAATAGGAGAGAGGGAGGGAGAGAGAGAGAGAGAGATACAGAGATACAGAGATACATACAGAGAGAGAGAAAGAGAGAGAGAGAGAGAGAGAGAGAGAGAGAGAGAGAGAGAGAGAGAGAGAGAGAGAGAGGGGGGGAGAGAGAGAGAGAGAGAGAGAGAGAGAGAGAGAGAGAGAGAGAGAGAGAGAGCTACACACACACACGCACACACACACACACACATACACAGAGTGATGGAGGTAATGAGAGAGAAAGAGGGAACATAAGAGAGATCAAAGGTGAGTGATCTGTATTTCAGCTACAGTAAAACCTGTGACTACCGACCACCCCTTGGTGCCAGCAAAAGCGGTCTTTAGTAGCAGGTGGTCTTTAGTTAGAGGTTTGCACCGTGCGACCATATATGGATCCCATTATATGATATGTACATGTATTTCAAAATGCAGCTAATAATATTGCTCAGGACTTGCGCAATGCCATTCTTAATTCAGGTCAAACAACACTTGGAGAGAAAGACGGAGAGATGGAGAGAGACAAAAGAGAGAGAGAGAGAAGATTAATTTTTTTGCAGACATCAACTTCAGCTGCTACTTCTGAAACCAGGAGTCAAATGTTCCCTGTGGAAATTTTGTTTTGCGCTGGGCTTCAAATTTGTTCATGCGATCAATCGTATCGACTATCCTTGTGGTGACTTCTCGATTGTTTGAACGCGGTCCTTCAGCATCAAGACCTTACGGTGCTGCTTTGTTTCTGGATTCCTTGACGCCATTGTCGATTCGTTTGTATGACTGGGGTGACAGAGCCGCTCAGTCTTCGTTTCTCCTCTGAGTAGTAACATCGAGCAGAGAGCGCTTTCGATGCGCTCTCCAAGACGTTTCCTATCATGTTTATTCTTGACAGCGCTTGAAATTCTGACAGGTGTAGTGCAGTCCACACCGACTCCACAGTCAAAATGGCCTGCTTTCATTTGTTCAGCTGTAGTACCGAAAGGTTCCTTTCAGGACCATTGAAAATCAGCAAAATTCCAAGAAGCAGCTTCGAGCAACATTTGATTTCTTACATCGCTGTCACTAGTTACGGGTCAAAAATCGTCTTTGGGACAAGAAAAGGCGGTCGCTGGTCGCGTTCAGCAGGTAGTCGCTAGTCACAGTGCATTTTGAACGTGAGACCGTCCGTGCCTGGCGAAGTGGTCGGTAGTACCAGGCTGGTCGCTAGTCACGGTGGTCTTTAGTTACAGGTTTTACTGTAGTACCAGGCTGGTCGCTAGTCACGGTGGTCTTTAGTTACAGGTTTTACTGTAGCACCAGGCTGGTCGCTAGTCACGGTGGTCTTTAGTTACAGGTTTTACTGTAGTACCCGGCTGGTCGCTAGTCACGGTGGTCTTTAGTTACAGGTTTTACTGTAGTACCAGGCTGGTCGCTAGTCACGGTGGTCTTTAGTTACAGGTTTTACTGTAGTACCAGGCTGGTCGCTAGTCACGGTGGTCTTTAGTTACAGGTTTTACTGTAGTACCAGGCTGGTCGCTAGTCACGGTGGTCTTTAGTTACAGGTTTTACTGTAGTACCAGGCTGGTCGCTAGTCACGGTGGTCTTTAGTTACAGGTTTTACTGTAGTACCAGGCTGGTCGCTAGTCACGGTGGTCTTTAGTTACAGGTTTTACTGTAGTACCAGGCTGGTCGCTAGTCACGGTGGTCTTTAGTTACAGGTTTACTGTAGTACCAGGCTGGTCGCTAGTCACGGTGGTCTTTAGTTACAGGTTTTACTGTAGGACCAGGCTGGTCGCTAGTCACGGTGGTCTTTAGTTACAGGTTTTACTGTATGTGGTTGGATTTTCTGTTGTGATTGGTGTGCTGTGTTGTTGGCAGGCGTCGCCGGCAATTTGCCGGCTAACGCGGCTATGGCCTCGGCCTTCGAGAAGTGTGTGCTGTTTTCGCTGCTCACCGCCGTTGTGTTTCATACGGCTGGGGCACAGAATGGTGAGTCACGTGCATGCTCCTCTTACCTAATTTACCTCGTCTGTTTCCAAGGGCACCGGAAAGTATTCTACATCGGTGCGACTCTGAAAAGGCGGGGGTCCAGGGGCTCCCCATTGGGAAAAAATGTGTACATTGGGCCCAAATAGACTACATTTCATTGCTTCGAAAATCGCCGGTCAAAATTATTGGCGCGAGCAAAACTGCACCTGCCGCAGCGGTTCCGATGCCCCTGGTTACCATGCCGACAGGCAAGCAGGCAGGCATAGTGGGATTGTCTAAGTCCATGATTGAGAAACAGAAGGTACCACATTCTAGTTTTGCTGAGAAAGGGAAAACAACGAACATTATGCACCTTAAGAATGGACTCGTATGGAGAGCCAAGGATAAATTTATTGAAAAGAATAAGGACCAAGGAACTACAAGTTCCCCTCTCATGTTATCATATAACTTAGAACCTTCCAAGTTGGCAGGCTGTTAGAGTGTGCATCCAAGATGTGCTAGAGCTGTTAGCCAGTTAGTTGTCGAACGTCAGTACCGTCGGTCAGTGTCGTGCAATGTTATCGCATGAGCTGATTGTTTAGTAACTGGTTGTGTTAGAGGCCATTATAGTGTAACTTGTAGTTCCTTGGTCCTTTTTACTTTCAATAAACTATACACCAGACAATACGATAACCTTACTACACCATACCCCACACAACACAACACATCACAACACAGCACATCACAGCACATCACAGCACATCACGGCACACCATGCCGTTGGCAGCTACATTAATTTTAAACTGATAATTAATGATGTTTTTGTTGTTGTCTCTCTTCAGCTACTCCCAACGTGCACTCACTCTCAGAAGTCGTCCAGCAGCGCGGGCGCGGCGAACGTGTCCAGTTTTCAGTGTCTCTACACGACACGCCCGATCCACCAGCGCAAATTGTCTGGACGCACAACGGCTTGCCGATCAACACCACCAGCGATGACAGGCTGCTGTTGTCTGATGACAACTTGTCATTGAACATCAGCAGTTTGGTTCTCCTGGACGGTGGACAATACGAGATTACTCTGAATAGCAGTGGAGAAATGGAGAGTATAACCTTCAATCTAACGGTTATCGGTAAGTTCCATCTGCAGAATATTTCTTAGATGTTGTTGTTCATATTGTTTGCAAACAGGCGGGACGCAGTACTGAAACTGCGGAATTTTTCATCCGACAGAATTGAACTCATATAATGGAACAACGAATGGCAAGGCTGGGTTGCTGCTACTCCAAGGGGTACATGGATGCGGCTAATTATTTTTACAAAATCCACATATCTCCAGACACTGGGGTGAATAATGGAGTGTGGTGGTGGGGCCCATTAAGCTCAGCCGACCAGAGGTCTCGGCTTCATAGCTCCATGGAAAAAATGGGGTTTCTCGGCACGTATACCAGTGGTTGTGAGACTCACCCCCTTGCCCTTACCGATAGGTGCTGCATCTGCCACTGGGTTTGCTGGGTGTACCATGTTTCTTAATTACACTCGAATGTCTCATATCCCTTCATAAGCTGTTGACGGAGACTCCCTCGATTTAGGCTAAGGCCTGTGGAGAATCCATAAATACAAATACAATACAATACAATACAATACAATCCGGGCACCTCGGGAGCGGTCACTGCCCGTATCTCAGATATTCCCGTATCTCAGGATAACTCTTCTACCATGTATCATATCATTTTTTGAAGAAGTTTATTTGGCACGTATTGCACATGTTCAGATTACAAAAAGAATCCATTGATAAAAACGTGTGGATTACACAGGTTGGCAGTGACGATTAAGCACTTGCGCGTACGAAAAAAGTTCAAACCCTCCAAATTCGAAGCATTTTGCCATGGGAACTCAAACTGAAGGTGCCCGGTAGAGAGACGTGCCCGTATCTGAGGCGTCCGGGTAAGAGGCGTTTGAGTGTACTCGGCAAAAGTGCCGAAATCGTTCGACCGTCCACCTTCAACCCATGCTGCCCGTGTATTGTGAGTGAGCAACGGAGCAGATGAGACTCTTATCGGCTTGATAGTCAACTGTATTCTGTTGACGAACTGGGTGACGCTGACAGTAGATAGATCACTGGCCACGGCAAGTGCATTAGTACCGACCAGAGTAAAAAAAAGAAAGAAAAAAAGTAAATTATCGTGTCCGTTCCCGAAGGGAACTCACGACGGCCGCTAACACCCGGTAAACCCTAGCGGCAGATGCAGCGCCTAACGATGGGGATGAGTGGATACCACCCGGTGTACATACATGTAAATCCCAAGCGCATTTGTATTTGTATTTACGGATTCTTCACAGGCCTTAGCCTAAATCGATGGAGTCTCCATCAACAGCTTATGAAGAAATAGAAAGCTTAGGAGAAAATTAAAATAAAAAGATAGAAAGATGCGGGGCGGTGGTAATTCCACACAGTGCTCTGTGACATCGCTCGAGTGTGCAACTCCAGGTATGGGGTCTGCAACGGCAGAACTTCACATCACGTGACGAACCTGTACACATTATTTCCACCTTGTGCATGATAGATACAGGGCTGTATGCGGAACCCAGCTTTGGGTTCAACTCTCTTGGGGTCACCTTGCACTGTTTGCCAGCGGAACCTTTTGAACCCGAAAGTGGCACGTGATGTGAAGTTCTGCCGTCGTAGCACTGTATAGCGGTTGTGCAGGCAGTTGCATACTCCTGGGGGTTATGTACTCTTGGCACCGACTTGCTTGTTGAAGTGAAGTAACAAACACAACGCCATGCCGTGCACCACAATATAACAGTCGGTTTGAAATCTTTTATTCTCAGGCTGGGCTGTGGCCAATAAGAGAAGAAGAAATGCAGGTACGGGGATCGGAAAAAGAGAAATTAAAATTTAGCTGCGTGCCAAAATAGTAACAATGCTAGTGAAGAGTTTATCACACAGAGTGTGCACATTGGGGCTATAGATGTGCTGAGCAATGTGAGCAGGGCACAATGGGACCATAGATATGCTGAGCAATGTGAGCAGGGCACAATGGGACTATCGATATGCTGAGCAATGTGAACAGGTACATACTGAGGAGACAAAGAGAGGTTAGGATGTTTGTTGTGAAATCTCGTCTGGGGTTGATTTGCCGGAGGCTGAGTGGGATGGTATTGAAGTCAGTTTGTCAAGTTGAATTTGAATTCTTTATTCTCACAATGGCACCATTGCCAATAAGAGATAAGTTTATGAGAAGGTGAGATGCTGTGGGTGGGGCTGTGGGTTATGCCGTTGGAAAGTGATTTACATCACTTTGTTGGTCTGATCATTGTCAGCTGGGCACACAAAGAATTCTGAAAGGGTGTGTTGCACACGGTAAGTTGCTACGTGTAATGATGATGTCATTCCAAAAGGGTGTGTTCCACACAGTACGATTCTACGTGTAATGATGATGTCATTCCAAAAGGGTGTGTTGCACACGGTAAGTTTCTACGTGTAATGATGATGTCATTCCAAAAGGGTGTGTTCCACACAGTACGATTCTACGTGTAATGATGATGTCATTCCAAAAGGGTGTGTTGCACACGGTAAGTTTCTACGTGTAATGATGATGTCATTCCAAAAGGGTGTGTTCCACACAGTACGATTCTACGTGTATTAACGACATCATTCCGAAAGTGTGTTTTACAAACAGTAAGATTCTACTCAACGTGATGACAGCATTCCAAAAGGGAGTGTTGCACATGGTAAGATTCGACGCGTGTTGATGACATCATTCCAAAATGGCGGGCTGCACACAGATTCTATGCGTATTTAAAAATTGACATCATTTTATTTTTTTCACTGTGTCCACTGTCTCTCCTCAGCTGCTCCTGAGGTGCAAGAGACTTCACCGCTCACACTGGCTCAGAGAGTATCCGACAGTGCCCAGTTTTCAGTGTCTCTCCTCGGCACACCCGATCCACCGCCGGAGATTGTCTGGACGCACAATGGCTTGCCAATCAACATCACCAGTGCTGGCAGGCTGCAGGTATCCAGTGACCGATTGTCATTGAACATCAGCAGTTTGGTCGAGTCGGACGCTGGGGAGTACAAGATCGGCTTGAATAACACTGGAGGTTCGGATAACGTGAACTTCACGCTAAACATCTTTGGTAAGTTCTGTGAACACAGCTTCCTAGGAGATAATGAACGTGGTGGATACTTCAAAGATTGCCGTGTCGTTCACATCACGTTACAAAGGGAGAATGCAGTGGTGGTGATTGTGGTTCATGATTCATACATTGCACTACTTTTCGACGAGTGTGCGTTTTAAAATCTGTGTTGTGTTGCGAAATTGCGATTCCGAGCCTCAACTACTGCTTCCAACGCAGTGCAAGTCTACAAAATTTCCGTTCGCTCGAATTTCAAGCCTCCGAGGGCTAAAACACATGCTGGCCACCTTTTAAGGCAGCCAGGAGTACAGGCCGAAATTTAAAATTTGTTGGGCCTGTACTCATCCTGCGTGAGTGCACACTGAACCTTGCCAAAAATATTTTGGCAGCAACTTTTTTTATTATTATTATTGTAGAAAGGAAAAGGACATAATGGATACGAGTTAAGAGTAACTCTCCATCACTGTAACTGGATACTACACTTTCTGACTGTAGTATCCAGTTACAGTGATGGAGAGTTACTCTTAACTCGTATCCATATGTCCTTTTCCTTTCTACATTTATTTATGGCTCAACATCCGAGTTTCAAATTATTATTATTATTATTTGAGGGATTTCCCAAAGGCCGAAGCCTAAATCAAGGGGGTCTCCAAGAATAAAATTTTAATATAAGTGTACAATACGTGTACAATAGGGTGCAATTTTTAAAGGAAGAAAATATTAAGTTTAAAGGAAGAAAATATTAAGTTTAAAGGAAGAAAATATAACTAATGCGCTGAATATTGTATGTCGACAAATTGTGGCCCTTTCAAATTTCGCCCTCCCAGGGCTAAAGCCCATTTTGGCCGCATCAAATTTTCGGCCTGTACTGTTGCCGCCTGTATACGCTGTCACACTGAGCCTTGCAAAACAAATTTTCGGCCAAACATGATCAGGCGGAAAATAGCCGCAAACGAATATGCGCCGAATATTTGTGGCTTACAGCATTTGTTGATTTTCAGTATTTACTTTAGTCTGGAAAATACACCATCTCAGAAACTATTTTACCCTTCGAAGCCCAGCTGGGTTTTCTGATTTCTCAGGAACTCGCACAGCGATGCTTTACAACGGGTGGTCGATTTCAAAATTTTGTAATTCAATCACCAGCCATGGAGTCTCATGATCTTTAGCTCCCTGAAAAGCATGTGACCTCCTCCATCCAAAGATAAAGACTAGACACTAAGCAGAAGCAACAGAAGCGCCTCCAAGTCCCTTGAGCGCAGCTCTATTGCGCTTGAACGAGATATGCCACCCACAGCAACAATTCCCATCCGTTCTTGACTTTTACTCTACACAAAGCAACGATTCAAAGTTCTTCGTGCTGCTCAAGCTCAAGTGGTCATCTTGGTATCCACTGCGCATGGGCTGCTCTGCTATGAGTGGGGGAAACCCCGTGCGCATGCGAGCCCTATTCGGAAATTTTCAAAAAAAATTCAAGTTTGGAAGTATGCAACCGCGTCCGATCTTCGCCGCTCGTGTATTTCGCAACGCGCTGCCACAAGTGACACACCGCTGGAAAGGTTATCGTTTGTGAAAAACAAAGAAAGAACTACGAAGATACGGAGATTTGTACAGTGATCTATGCTCAATGCGTTCAAATTGCGCATTTGGACGAGCACACTCGTCCTTGGGAAATCACTAGGGACGAGTATACCGTCTTCCTTGCGCTTCAAAGGGTTTCAAGAGAGTCATTATTCTGCGGGGATAGCTACCAGCCATTGTACACGGGGTATTGTCTGTTTGCTGGTGTTGTTCGTAATAAGGTTGCTAGCACATCTTCATACAGTGGTCGTTTTTTTGCAATTGGGCGCCAGGGGCGTAGCTGGTCCTCTGTTCGGGGTGTACACGGCTGCATACATGTAGGATGGCAGGTGTATGTCGTTCAACTAATAATACATGCTTAGTATAGAAAACGTGTACATGCAGTACTTATGTTCATACTATCATCAACAATAATAGCAAGAAGACATGACAGGATCACTGCGCTAAGAGTATCCAAACGTCCACTTATTCTGTCAAACAAGACAACATAACCGCATGCAGGGAGGAATTTACTGTCATGTTTTTGCATAGCAGTTTTTGCTATGCAAAATCTCAATTATGGCGTAAGCTACAAAAAGCATGGATAGCCTGTCCATGTATGTATGGCAGTTTTCTGCGTGTCACTGTGATTTTTGAGTAGCAGTAGATCGATTTTGCGTAGCAAACTGCGATGCGATACCGGATAAATTCATCCTTGCCATGCACTCTTGGGTCAAAGCAGAGTGTCTTATTCTTACAATGGAAGACGGTCTTATTCTTACAAAGGAAGAGGGTCTTATTCTTACAAAGGAAGACGGTCTTATTCTTACAATGGAAGAGGGTCTTATTCTTGCAAAGGAAGACGGTCTTATTCTTACAAAGGAAGACGGTCTTATTCTTACAAAGGAAGAGGGTCTTATTCTTACAATGGAAGAGGGTCTTATTCTTACAATGGAAGAGGGTCTTATTCTTACAATGGAAGAGGGTCTTATTCTTAGGCCGCGGACACACCGAGCCCGATTCAGCCGTTCAGCCAGAAAAGCGCTTTTTCGGCTGAGGTTTCCAGGGAAATGGCTGAAAATCAGGGCACCAGCCACTTTCAGCTTGCAGCCCTTTTGGAAGCGCTGAAAAGCTGAAAGTGGCTGAATAATTCTGGCTAAAGTGCAAGAGTGCAAGAGGAGTTGAAGAACTTGAGTTGACGTTTGTTGTAGTCAGGTAGTTTCTTCCCACGTGGAGATTCAAAATTAGGACGTAGTGTGTATGCAAATCACGTATACTGGGCACAGGGGTCATCCTCCACATAAAGAAAAACCCGGGAAAACCCGCGTCAGCCAGTGCAGTTTTGGTGTGACTGTCAGCTGCCTAGTCGCAAGCCACTTTCAGCGCAAGCCAAAAACGGCTGAACTTGGTGAGACCGCGGCCTAACGAAGGAAGACAGTCTTATTCTTACAAAGCACGTGGGTCGTATTCTCACCAAGGGCTAATGCAACTAACTCACTACAACTGTGTCTGCTGTCTTGTCTCAGCTCCCCCTAGACTACAGCCTGCAAAGCTATCCCTACACAGAAGAGTAGGCGAAAGTGCACTGTTTTCTGCTAGGCTTATCAACACTCCATATCCACCGGTGACCGTCGTCTGGACGCGTTGGGAAATCCCAAACAGCCTCCCCCGTGGAGCACACATATCCAGTGATGGCTTGGCGTTGAATATCAGCAATTTAACTTACCAGGATACCGGACAATACAGCATTACTGTCAAGAACACGGAGGGAGAGGATTCCCGCAGAGACTATCTAAGAATATGGAGTAAGTTCTGCAAATTTTAGTTACAATCTAAGGTGAAGAATCTGTGCTACGTACTCTGCTAGACGATTCTGATCAAAGCATCTCGGGCGGTCTCAAAACTTCTTTTTCTCTCTCTCTCACTCATTCCCTCTCTCTCTCCTCTCTCTCTCTCTCACTCACTCACTCACTCTCGCTCTCTGTCTCTCTGTCTCTCTCCCTCTTTCTCTCTCTCCCTCTGTCTCTCTCTCCCTCCCTCTCTCTCTGTCTCTCTCTGTCTCTCTCTCTCTCTCTCTCTGTCTTTCTGTCTCTCTGCCTCACTCTGTCTCTCTCTCTCTCCCACTCTCTCTCTCTTTCTCTCACTCACTCCCTCTCTCACTCTCTCTGTCTCTCTGTCTCTTTGTCTCACTCTGTCTCTCTCTCTCTCTCTCTCTCTCTCTCTCTCTCTCTCTCTCTCTCTCCGCTCTCTCTCTCTCTTTCTCTCACTCACTCTCTCTCTCTCACTCTCTCTCTCTCTCTCTCTTCTCTCTCTCTCTCTCTCTCTCTCTCTCTCTCTCTCTCTCTCTCTCTCTCTTTCTCTCTCTCTCTCTCTCTCTCTCTCTCTCTCTCTCTCTCTCTCTCTCTCTCTCTCT